AAACGTAATCAGAGTAAATTTAAGGTCGCTGAACCTCAGTTAATACTTTTTATGTGATGTTATTATAAATATACTGTACATCAATCCATGTGGCAGAAGTTGCAACAAAAATTGCCTCGTGTAAAATTGCTTAAAATGGCTATAGCACATTTTAATACTTAGCAGTTTCAATCATGCATCATCTTCGATCATAATTGTATTGAGCAGTTGTTCACAAAGGTTATCACAGAAGCCAGTAGCTTCTTGCTGTTGTTTATGTTTAGTAGCTTTAGTACACAAGACTACCTGGGTACTGTCCATATAAGTACATAATTTGTAGCCCCGAATGCCACAGCTACATCTACCAGCCATCTTCAGAAGATATAAAGGACCATGGTTTCGGCAACAACGGCCATCAATCTCGTTGCAGTCGTTGCAGTTTTCAATGTTTCCCTTTACCAGAATTTGGGGGGTTACCATGCATATTACAAGCTGACAGCATCCTCAAAGCTTTCATCCTTATGCAAAAATAAGAAATGTAATGAGATTACACATTTCATTTTTACTTACAGCATGCCTGGCACAAGCATGCAGTATATATAAAGCCAAATTAAACAAAAACTTGGCATCACCGCCCGCCTCTCGATTTCTGCCGCCTCTTTTTATGTAGATCTCAATTTTTTTCATGCTCAGACCTTCGCGCTATATACTGATTGATAGGAGCGTGTGGGTTTGGGTATACAGAATTCTTATAGTAAAATGGCGCCCTCGCAACATCAGTACAAAAAATTTCACCGATATGGTAGAAAAACCGCCCCCATCCCCCCTTCAAAAATTTAAAAATGAGTAAAATTAAAAAAAACGCTGCCCTCCCGCCTCAGAAAATTTGTGAGAATGTGACGCTAACCAAATATTTTTTTTATTTGGCCTAATCGCAGGTTCGCAGAAGCTTCACTGTTAAGAATTGACTTCTAATTAGCAAGTCAAAATAGTTTTAATTATAATATATGCATGAATAAATAATAACCCCAAAAAAATTAGTAGGTAGAATTTTTAGATTGTGTAGTTATAGTTAGAGCGCTTGCTACAAGAAGGTTGTCTGAAATCGAACAGTGATACATGAGAGTATATTAACGAAGAGTTCATATAAAAGGATCTGCGTGGACAGAGGTACAGGATAACTTGACGTTTATACCATGATCAGATACTGTATTAATTTATAATTGTAATATATTTGTTCACGACCGTAGCATTAAGTAGATAGATTTTTGGTAACTTGTAATTATTATTTATTATAGTTTTTACGTACTGTCTTGGACAAATATACGTTTGCCATACAACCTGAGACCACGAAGAGTTTATGCGTTTGTTGTTGGTTTGTTCGTCGAGTTTGTTTCGGGACGGTTCAGTAAACTTAACCGCGTTCAAAGTCCGATCCTTTACAGTAAAAACTTTCCCGTGTTTAAGAGAATGGCCGTTTGTTCGTGGTAAAGACATCAAATTCGACAGTATATGGATTAGCTGAACATGGCCGAGGAAGTTAAGAAAGGCACAGTCGACGAAGACGGCGTTACTGAAGAAGAAACGGCTTTCGAGACCGGTATTCGTGAAAGTCAACGAGAAAGAATACCTACCCTCAAGGGAGAAGAATACCAACGTCAGCTATTACAACGAGACTATTCAATTGCATCCAGAGCATGGCGAAAACAAGCGAATATAGCAGAAGCCGTTCTGGCAGATTCAGCCGATGTGTTTGTGTTACAACGTGAAAGATCGATACTATCAGGGCGTATGGATGATTTGGCGAACACGCAAATAAAATTTGGTGGCTTAGTTAGCCAGGAACAATCGACTACATACGAACAATGGTGTCGCATACATCAAAATATCTTAAGTGATTTGAATACAAGAATTTCAAAGCTAATGGACGATCGAAGCTCTGCAATTTCTAAACGCTCGCATCGAAGCAAAACATCTGGAAAATCGACATCGACTAAGACATCGAATTCTTCGCTGCGTCGGAGGTCGGAAATGTTAGCTAAGAAAGCTAGACTTGAAACTGAGCTAAAATTTCATGACGCTGAAATAAAAAAGATGGCTGACTTAAAAAGGCAAGAAGATGAACTAAAACATTTCCGAATTGCGAAGGAGCTAGCTGCTACCGATGCCGAAATCGAGGCAGTTGCTAAAGTTGAGTCAAATTACAGCATTGAGTTGAACCTCGAGAACATATCGAAGTTGCCAGATGACGACAACTCCGGAGAACGAGTAAAGCAGTATCTGGAATCTCAGCATACCATCAACAATAAGGGCCTAAGCACACTTCCAGTTGACATAGATGTCTGTGGATCCATAGTCAGCAAAACTCTAGCTACAGGCATAAATTCAAAAGATCAAGTGACACCTGGCAACGATTTAAATCCTTTATCTCATCCCCTCCCAACGACACATCCGAGCTTTATACTACCAACTCCTCCGCTAGCTGTATCGCAAGGAGAAATGTCAAAAGAATCACTCCCCGTTTCTACGATCAGGAGAGATACGTCGCTTCACGTCTCTGCCGGGTACAATGCAAATGCAAATGCCAATGGAGATTCATTAACAAGACTGGCGGACCTGCTCGCACAACGACAAGATTACGATTCACTCCCACCTCCTCAGCCCGATGTCTTCAGTGGTGATCTACTTCAATATCCAATTTGGATCAAGGCCTTCGAGACTTTAATCGAAAGAAAAACGAATCAACCATCCGAAAGACTTTATTATCTCGGAAAGTATACATCTGGGGAAGCGAAAGAAGCAGTAAGCGGTCTCTTACCCTTGGACACAGAAACAGCCTACGCGAAAGCCAAGAAAATCCCAGCGAACAGGTTTGGTAATTCCTTCCTCGCTTCGAATGCGTATCGGAAGAAACTGGAGAATTGGCCAAAGATTGCGCCGAATGATGGTCCAGGTCTCAGAAGATATTCAGATTTTCTCCAACACTGCTGTACCGCGATAGACAAAATAAACTGCCTGAACGTCTTGGATGATCCGGAAGAAAATCGAAAGATGCTAAGTAAACTCCCGAACTATCTTGTGAACAGATGGGGGCGTATTATAGACGATCAAATTGGAGAAGACGTTAACGATCGAAGTGATGACGAAGATGAACTTGGAATGCCACAAAAGACCGAGGGAAGAAACTATCCTTCATTCAAGGAATTCTCCCGGTTTCTGAAGAAAGAAGCCCGGATTGCATGTAACCCTGTGATCTCTCAATGCTTTCTCAAAGGAGAATCAAAGAAGAAAGAAGTGAAAGAGTCGAATTATAAACAATCCCGTTATAGAAATGTTGGTGTCAACAGTTTCGTGTCGCAAACAGACGATTTCTCTCCTACTCTTGAAGAAAGTCGAATGAAGTCAAGGAATGACGTAAAGAAACTAATTTGCATATTCTGCAAAGAGATGCATGAAATAGACGTCTGTGAGAAATTTCTTAAACTTCCTATGGATGGTAAAAGAGAATTTATCATCGCGAAACGTTTGTGTTGGGGATGCTTGAAATGGGGCCACCTGAACAGTAACTGTCGCGTAAGAAAGATATGCAAGGTTTGCAGTGAAGCATACCCAACTTCTCTTCACGGAGATAATCGGAAATCAAGATCGAAATTGGCTACGAAATCGAAAGACGATTCTTCGAAATCGAAAGACGATTCTTCGAAACCAAGACAAGAACTGAATAAAGTCAAAGACAGTTCGAATGAAGATACAACTATTTCCAATTGCATTGAAGTTTGTAAAACGAACACGTACAGTGGGCCAATCTCACATTCCCTCATTGTTCCTGTTTGGCTGCATCATAAAACCAACCCGAATCACAAAATCATGGTATACGCGCTTTTGGATGAACAGTCAGATGCGTGCTTCGTTAAGGACTCTGTCGTGGATGAAGTAGGAGTCAATGGTCCTGAATCAACTCGAGATTTCAACAGTATTGGCACGAGAAACCGTAAACAATCGAAAGATCGCTGGTTTAACAGTTCGTGGTGTTAACGAGACGAGTGAAATTACCCTCCCTGGAACGTACGCCCGAGAGGTAATCCCAGCAAGACATGGACAGATTCCTAGACCAGAATCGGCCCGGAAATGGTCACACTTGGAGAAGATCGCTGAGTTTTTGATGCCATTCCGAAACGATGTGGTGGTTGGACTCCTCATTGGCACAAATTGCGCACGAGCGATCAAACCACGTGAAATCATACCTGGTAATGATGATGACCCTTACGCGAAAAGGACTGCACTTGGCTGGGGAATCGTTGGCATTGTCGAAGCGAAGGTAAACGAAGAATCCGACGAGAATTACGTTGTTGTGAATCGAGTCATCACACACGAAGCCAATGTTGGTCCAGACAGAAAGATTTGTCATTTGGCCTTGAGAGCACAGGTCAAGGAGATTATGAACCCGAGTATGTTTAATCAAATGTGCGAGTTAGATTTCAGTGAACGAAGGAAAGAAGAACAACCTCTTTCCTACGAAGATAAGATGTTTATTAAGATGGTCAAGAAAGGAATCCATCAACGTGAAGATGGTCATTATGAAATACCCCTACCTTTCAAAGATGACGAAGTGAAGCTGCCCAATATAACAAAAGTCAGGCATTGAGCCGTCTTTCGAAGCTGAAGCAACGATTCCTGAGAGACAAGAAATATCAAACCGACTACCTGACATTTATGAATGGAATCATTGCTAGTAACTACGCCGAACTTGTTCCTCAGGAAGAGATGAAATTGGACGATGGTCGAATTTGGTATCTACCGCACCATGGTGTCTATCATCATAGAAAACCTGACAAGATAAGAGTAGTCTTTGACTGTAGTGCAGTATACAAAGGACAATCCCTAAATCAAAATCTATTACAAGGACCTGACCTTACAAACAGTCTGCTGGGCGTTCTTTGTCGTTTCCGCCAAGATGACACTGCTTTCATGTGCGATCTCGAGGCTATGTTCCACCAAGTGATGGTGAATGTCAACGATCGAAATTTCCTTCGTTTCCTATGGTGGAAGGATGGTGATTTGGACAACGAACCAATTGTGTACCGAATGACAGCGCACTTATTTGGAGCAACTTCATCACCTGGTTGCGCCAACGTTGGTCTAAAGACGACAGCCGATGACTACGAAAGAGAATGTGGTAGCCAAGCAGCCAATTTTGTGAGAGATAATTTTTATGTTGACGACGGATTAAAGTCTGTTTCCACGCCCACCGATGCTATCGATCTAATCCAGAAGACCAAAACGCTATGCAAGAAAGGAGGCTTTCGTCTTCACAAGATAATCTCGAACAGTAAGGAAGTCATTGAAGCAGTTCCCCCCGAAGAACGCGCGAAAGGCATTCAAGACCTGGATCCAACTCGTGATGCCCTTCCAATTGAGAGAGCCCTGGGAGTCCAATGGTGCGTGGAATCTGATACTCTTAAATTTCGGATTGAATTGGCTGACCGACCACTTACAAGATGAGGCATCTTGTCAACAGTGAGTTCTGTGTTTGACCCCTTGAGAGTCCTTGCTCCGTTCGTGCTAATTGGAAGGAGAATCCTTCAAGAGTTATGTAGAGATGGAGCGAATTGGGATGACAAGATTCCAGATTATCTGTTGTCGAGATGGGAAAGTTGGAGAAACGACGTAGTACTCTTAGCAAAACTAAGTATCCCTCGTTGCTATGTACCAGTCGACTTTTGAGAAATCAAAGTAGTGGAAATGCATAATTTCTCGGACGCAAGTGAAATTGGTTACGGACAGTGTTCCTATTTGAGGCTCGTTGATCATCTTGGGTCGGATTCATTGTTCGTTGGTGTTGGCGAAATCTCGAGTGGCACCGTTGAAGCTTGTAACAATTCCTCGTTTAGAGCTTACTGCTGTGTTGGTGACGGCGAAAGTCGGGGTGTTATTGAAAAGGGAGTTAGAGTACGAGCAAGTCAATGAGTTCTTTTGGTCCGACAGTAAAGTCGTACTTGGGTACATTTTCAACAGTGCGCGTCGTTTCCATGTCTTCGTCGCAAACAGAATTGAACAGATTCGGGACCTTACTTCACTTGCTCAATGGAGATATGTAGAGTCGAAAGATAATCCAGCTAATTATGCTTCCCGTGGTCTTTACGCCCAAGACTTAATTGACAAGAAAGAGTGGTGGCATGGACCCGATTTCCTTTGGACCAATTTTGACACACAGCGAGGTGTAATCGAGAACGCAGTCGCTGTTTCTCCAGATGACCCCGAAGTGAGAAAGACTTCCACACTTGTCACTGAGGTCAAGGAACTAGCAGACATTGAAGAACGTTTGCGTCGTTTTTCCAGTTGGAATCAAGCTAAGAGAGCTATTTCGTTTTGTCTTCGTCTTAGAAAGAGACTTATAAATCAGCTGCGTCAGAAGAGTTCGTCAGCCTCCGATGGTAATAAGCCGGAGCGGAAAGAAATCGAAGATGACGGACAAACAAATCCCATTAGTAAAGATTTGAAACAGCTAGTGAATAAAAGCATCAAGGCTACCAGACAAGAAAAGTTGTCCTACAAGCCAGTAAACGTCGAAAAACTCCAGGATGCTGAAAGTGAAATCATCAGGATTGTTCAGAACAAAGCATTCGACGATGAGATTGTTTTATTAGGTCATCAGGATCCACAGAACATAACCCCTCCCTCCGGAGATGTTCAAAACCAAGTCAGAAAAACTGTGAAAATATCGAGTTCAATTTATCAACTAGATCCGTTCCTTGGTAAGGATGGTATCCTGCGTGTGGGTGGCCGAATCAGACGTGCAAGTATTCCTGAGAACGTTAAGCACCCATGTATCTTTCCAAGAAAAGGCCATGTGACCTAGTTAGTTATCTCAGATAACTATCTGTCACCATCATCAGAAGGTTGCACACCAAGGACGCGGAATGACGCATAACAACATCAGATCGTCCGGATTCTGGATCATCGGTGGACGATCAGCTGTCGCCAGTCACATTTCAAAGTGCGTAAAATGCAGAAAACTTCGTGGTTCATTGCAGGAACAGAAAATGGCAGATCTGCCAGCAGATCGTCTGGACCCTGCTCCTCTTTTCGCTTACAGCGCGGTCGACTATTTTGGACCTTGGCTAATTAAAGAAAGACGCCGACAAGTTAAGAGATATGGAGTCTTATTCACTTGTTTGGCATCACGAGCCATTCATTTAGAGACAGCCAACAGTCTGGATACTAGTTCCTTTTTAAACGCCTATCGTCGGTTTATTGGACGTCGGGGTCCAGTGCGTCACCTGAGATCAGATCGAGGTACTAACTTTGTTGGCTGCAAGAATGAACTGAAAGAAGCGCTAACAGAAATGAATCAGGAGGCTATAAAACTGAAACTATTGGAAGAAAATTGTGACTGGATTGAATTCCGAATGAATGTACCGCATGCGAGTCACATGGGTGGCGTCTGGGAGCGTCAAATACGGACTGTACGAAATGTTTTGACAGTTTTACTGGACAACCATGGAACCATTGTGGACGATGAGTCATTGCGAACCTTCATGGTGGAAGCCGAAGCGATTGTAAACAGCCGACCGCTTACCACTGAAAATCCAGACCACCTTGAACCTATAACCCCTAACCACTTGCTGACGATGAAGAGCAAAGTCATTCTACCTCCTGCTGGAAACTTTCAGGGTGCAGACACTTATTCGAGAAAAAGATGGCGTCGGGTTCAGTATCTGGTTAACGAGTTTTGGTACCGTTGGAGAAACGAATTTATTCAATCCTTACAAGTACGGCAAAAATGGATGCGTCCCCGAAAGAATCTTAAGATTGGAGATGTGGTCATTGTCAAGGATATAGATACGCCTCGCAACCGATGGAAGCTCGCAAGAATTGTAGAGACATATCCCGAGAATGACGGACTCGTTCTAAAGGTCAAAATCGCCTTAGCTGACAGTACTTTAGACGACCAAGGAAGACGAAAACGACCTATTTCCTATTTAGATCGACCTGTTCAGAAATTGGTTCTCCTCCTGTCCAGAGATGAGTATGAAGACCGGGGAGTCCCCGACGAGGAGCCATGTGTAAAGCCAGGATCATAATGACGAGTGGTAAACTGTTGACGTCGATAAACGATAAGTTTTAATTTTAAGTAGTTAAATTGCTATACAATTTAGAGGAGCCATGTTAAGAATTGACTTCTAATTAGTTTAATTATTCTAAACAGTTTATGATAAGATATGCATGAATAAATAATTAACCCAAAAAGATTAGTAGGTAGAATTTGGAATTGTTTAGTTATAGTTAGAGCGCTTATAGTCAGAGCGCATCGAAATCGAACGGTGATATAAACGAGAGTTATTAACTAAGAGTTTATGAAAAGGGATCTGCGGGGACAGAGGTACGTTTATATAATAATATACTGTAGTGATTTATAATTGTAATATATGGCAAAGTAGATAGATTTATGACTTGTAATTATTGTTTATTTTAGTTTTTACGTACTGTCCTGGATAAATATACGTTTAACATACAAGAAGACTATAGACCACGAAGAGTCTATGCGTTTGTAACATAGACCACGAAAGGTCTATGCGTTGTTGTTAGTTTGTTTTGTCGAGTTTATCGGGACGGTTCAGTTATCTCAGCCGCTCTCAAAGTCCGATCCTTTACATAGATAGTCAAAACCTTTTTATTTGAATCTTAAATACACTACAGTCTACGACATAAACGTAAAATATATTATTATATAAGTATACAGGGTGTATCAAAATAAACGCAATTCATCTTTTGTGCTTAATAACTTTCGAAATACTATTTCTAGTTAAACGCTTTTAGGCTTACTTCAAAGCCTGTTCTTTTCTCTTTCAAACAAACTATTATCCTTGTCTCCAATGCTAGTAATAATTGCACAGGAAAAGATTTAGTAAACCTATCATTTTTAGTTGCTGTTTAATTATGCAAGTTTACTATGTTATTGTTTAGTCGGTTTAAATGTTAGAATTTTCTTCTTTAAACTTCAATGTTGTCGTCACTACATCTGGAAAACCACGTAAGAACAAATTAAAAGTATTTTAAAAGAGACCAGGTTGTTTGAAAATCCTAAACGAATGCTAAAAGTCGTCAAAACATTCTGGTGTCTGAGCCAGAGTGTCATCGAATTGCGATGTAATGTAAACAGAAATTATAGCAAGTTGATGTCAGTCAGCTTAGATGGTCCAAGCCAAAATTATATCGCATTTGAAGTTTCAAACTGAGTTAAAAATAGTGGAAGAAAAGCCGTAATTATACTTAATTATACGTAATTATACTACTATAATCCATTTAATAAACTGCAACATTTTTTTGTTTTAATGAAAAAATCAGTTATTTTCATGAGAACGATTTTTTATTCCATCTCAATTTTTTTAATCTCCAATCGCAATAACGTAAAGTATTATTAGCCGCGAACCAACGAGTCAAATTTAAGAAACCAACCAATGTTGGAAAGCTGAATGGCTACGCTTTAAAATGAATGTAAACTTTAACGTTTTCGTCTATTATTTGTTTAGCAATTTACATTTCAGTCGAGGATTGCGCTTTTTTTGATACACCCTGTAGTGCTTTATAGAGATTTCGAGCACTGATAAAAGTGATAATCTCACATGTGAGATTATTCATGATAATGTCAAATGTGAAAATTATCGCTTTTCAATTATCGCTTTTCTGTAAAAATTATCGCTTTTCAAAGACTGTCCTTTATATAATAAACAGAAAAATACATGGGTGCTTGGAAATACCAGATTTATTTCTCGTGTTGAACATGATATCTCACTCGTTCGCTGCCCTCACTCGTGAGATATCATGTTCAACACTCGAAATAAATCTGGTATTTCCGCGCACCCATGTATTATTCTCTATTTATTTAATTAATTATGAGGGAAAGGAGCCAGATTTCTCGCAGTTGACCAAGTTTGTCGTGAAGAGAGCGAAATTGGCGAATACGGAATATGGCCGCTTGATTAACACAAAACCCGAAATCGAACGTGAAAGAAACAAGAACCCTCGGTTTAGTGGACAGTCTCGCAGAGTGTCATCGTTTGCATCGACCGGATCCATTAAAGAACAAGATTCCGCGCAGACCAGTTATTCACCCGGAGGGAGATCGTCTGCAAAACTGAAATGCTACTTTTGTGATAAGGAAGGCCACACTGTCGAAAGATGTTTCAAGTTCCAAGGGAAATTATATGATGAACGGAAATCCTTTGTTTCCAAGCAAGGTCTGTGTAATCTTTGCCTTCTAAAGGACATTTCGCCAAGAGATGTAAGAAATACCATGGATTCTTTATTCCTGGATGTGGAAAACAACACCATCCCATGCTTCATCCCGTTGAACTTAATCGAGACAACAAAGTCCAAGCACCGGTCAAGACAGATAACGAGGAAATCCAAGGACAGACAACCAGTTCTTCGCCCGTCCAATTCCAGAATGCTCAGACAGGACACTGTGGAGCAACCGGAACTATAAAGAAACAAGTTTGCTTGAGAGTCGTTCCTGTTAAAGTGTTTGGAAGAGACAATGGTATCGAAAAGGTCACACATGCAATAAGAGATGAAGGATCGAATACACATGCAATAAGAGATGAAGGATCGATTTTCAGTTGACTACTATAAACGGAGTCTCCCAAGAATCTGGCAGATCTCATTTCTTCTATGTGCAAAGCCTGGGACAGAAAGATCGTTTAGAAATTCCAAATGCGCTTTCAGTCAAAGATTTGTCGGTCTCTGCAAGCTGTATCCCGAACGAACAAGATATAGCCAAGTGGAAATATTTTGATGGAATCTCTGTGCCAGAACTGGAAAGTTCGGAGGTCACAATTCTAATTAGTGCTGACATCCCTGAAGCACACTGGAAACTAGAAGAAAGACGTGGTCGGAAGAAAGAGCCATACGCGGTTCGAACCCCTTTGGGATGGTCTGTAGCAGGTCCTTTAGGAACTAACTCTGACAGCAATGTTAGTTCTTTCTTCATCCGCCAGGAAGATGAGTTCCTCAACGAGACTGTGGATAAGATGTTTCAAATGGATTTCAGTGAGTCCACATATTCCCCAGATTTAAGCATGTCACTAGAAGATCAGAAAGCACTAACCGCGATGGAGAATTCCTTGAAGATTGTTGACGGTCGCTACCAGCTGGATCTTCCATTTCGCACGAAACCAGATTTTCCCAACAATAGAAGCCTTGCTGAAAGGAGACTACATTCTCTGAAAATGCGACTGAAGAAAGATCCAGATCTCCATGCCAAGTACAAGATTGGTATTGACGAATACGTTGACAAAGGGTATGCTGTTAAGATCGACCCAAGCCATATGGTATCTACCCGACCATCCAGTTTTGCATCCTCGAAAGCCAACAAGGCCAAAAATTGTGTTCGACTGCGCTGCCAAGTATGACGAGATCTCCTTGAACAACCAACTGCTCCAAGGAC